TAGAAGGACACAGGGGAAATCATCAATGTATTAGAAAAACCCAAATGAGCACCATGGAATTGTGTCTTAAAAGTTTACAAGTTCGGTGATTTTAAATAATTGTAATGGTTTAGAGGCATATTTTTTATGAAACATGAGGAAATAGCATCAAATTGAAATGAAACCGCCAGAAAGGAATGTTTCGGCCTTACATCTTTGTATTTTTCTAAAGTGATTGTTTATCATAAAAAGTATAGACGATAGTTTTCCAATTTCAGTAGAAGGATTTCACCGCAGGCTTTGCTTGCAACTCACATAATCAGTGAAAACTGCTGGCAGTTTTTTAGTAGAGAATGTTCGTCGATCTAGCGAAAACTTGTTAGCGAACTGAATTTAAGCAATCTGGCGTGGTGTTACTCTTCTCAGTAGTATCTGGTCGCATCTCATTAACAACGAAACGTCCACGGTGGCTTTTTAGATGGACGTTGTGTTGTGGTACTGGGTCGTTAGTCTTCAAGTTTGTTTAACTTCTGGCGAAGCGAAAAACTTACGCTGCTAATCCCTGCCTTTTGTTAGACTTGAAGCTCCAGCGGCTGATTTTGTGCGTCATATAAAAGTTTCAAATTCCTCTGAATATTCGGTGTTTTTAGGAATACTCCTAATTAATCATTTATTAATCTGTAGATTCCTCGACAAAATTCCGACATGCAACCGCAAGCAACAACTGAAAGTGAACATTCGGAAAGTGGTATTCTGGGGGGCAGACGACAAACCACACAAGAACTCAGCTATACAGCTGTGGGCTGGAGTCGACCTGACGCCATGCAGAAGTCCGCATCGCGATATACTCACCCTGACAAAAAATCGATCATTAAATCTGAATATGCGATTATAAAACCATCGTAGCGTTTATAATTCAGTTCTGTGTGTTTTCTAAAAACAGCTGGTTTTGGTTCTGACGCGAGAATCGCAGGATCAAACAATCACGTGCAGTGTTTGTTTCTTCCTGTTCAGGGGCCGGATTTTTTAAGAACTCGTTAAAAGACAAGCGTGCATTACTCAAAAAACTAGTTTGCTTCTTGCACTTTGTAATTTGCTCTTGGTTTTTTTTATCGGGTTTGAAATGTGAAAGCTTTTTGTGCTGAGCGCTTTCCTCTGTTGCTCCCGATGCCGCATTAACTCATAAGATTTGTTCTATTGGAGCGAAGAAGACATCTTGTTTTATTTTCAAGCCAACAAAGGTGTAAAAGTGCGCACGTGACTTCGGGGGTTTTTAAAAAACTGGTAGGGATTTGTTGCGGAGACTCATAGTGTACAGTGAGTATACAGTGGACGAAATCGGAAAACAGAGGTCCCTGACATGTTTGCTGCAGGCATCCGGCTCTATCTGATAATTTGAGCGGTCATGCTAGAGGCGGAAAGAGTATACTGCATACTTGCCTCTTTAAGTAAATTTGTGTTTTGGAGTTCCAGTGAGGAGGCGGAAATGACGCAGAGTATTACTACGAGCCAATTCCAGCTTGTACAAAGGCATATACTTCGAAAAATCTGACAGTTACGTTTACCTGGGCAAGAAATTATTATGTACCCAGAAACTGCAAGCCAAAAGGGGAAAATCACGCTATTCGCCAAAATAAAATTATTGGTTCTCCCACCATCACTGTTCGTTCAGACCGCGCTTATTTTTTTTTTTTTTTTGAGCTAGTACTTTCTGCTTTTTGCGAATCGCAGGTTGGTTTTGCTACACATCTCATATCACGCATTTTCTGCTGAAGTTATCTGAAGTACGGTTATTAGGGCATACTTTATGCGATTTGCATGATTTTTTTTTTTTGTTAATTATGCTTCCCTGTTGTTGTCCATGTTCGTATGTTATTAAATTTTTCCATTATTTACGTGCTTTCCTGAACAGC